TTTTTCTCAGAATTCGGACTTTTTTCTCAGAATTCTGACTTTAATCTCAGAAATCTGACTTTTTTATTGTCAGAATTCTGACTGAATTCTGAGATTAAAGTCAGAATTCTGACTTTTTCCCCATACTAAACTGAAACAAAATTTAAAAATCAGTTAACTTTTTTTTCAGTGGCCCTAATCCTCTTCCGTAAAATATGGGAAAAAAGTCAGAATTCTGACTTTTTTCTCAGAATTCGGACTTTTTATCCCATATTAAATTGAAATAAAATTAAAAAATCAGTTCACTTTTTTTATTTTTTCAGTGGCTCTAATCCTCTTCCGTAAAACTGGGCAATATTGGAGGGTAATTATTATTATATAACTTAGAGTTTTTAAAACACGGAACAGAAAAGGACAAAGAAAGATAAGTGAACTGTTCTTAAGGCGGAGTGAGACATCTTCGCAGCTTTTCACCATCTTCGTTGTGATTGACTACTCATTTACATCCGGGTAACAGTGGTGACCTTGGTGGGTTAGTCATCATGGCGGCCATCGTCAGGTTGAGTTCTGTGTGTCGTAGGGGAGTAAAACGTGAGTACAGCTCTCTGCTTTCAGGCTTTCTGGGTGTTTTTAATCCCGAACAGAGCGGCGGGGTGAGAGGAGGAGGGCGGCGGGGAAGAGGGACGAACAGCGGCGGCCTAAAACCACGGCTGATGATGGGTCTGCTGTCAAGTTCACGACACGCAGTAAAGCGGGTTGTTTGTCACCTCTGATAGAAACACCTTCAGCCCGGGATGAGCTTCATGGCGGTTTATAAAAACCTGCTAGTCATAAAATCACGGTCACGCACTGGCTGGACACGCACGCGTGACCTGCGTGGCCATCCAGAGCGGGAAGCTGCAGCTTTTTAGAGTTTTGTTCCATTACTGTAAAGATGGAGCCGATATGAGCCAATATCCAGAATCTTCTAATTTCACTTTGTCTTAAAGTTGCGTCCATCCCATCCTATGGAAGGCCGTTATGGGATACTATCTCATTATGACATAATATCTCAAAATAATGAGATAGTATCTCATTAGAGGGAGTTAATTAGGGCTGCAACTAACGATTATTTTAAAAATCGATGAATCGG